TTATTTTTATTTACTTATTTTAAGAATAAAATGTATTTATTTATGAACTTGTTATTTTTCTTTCATTTATTATATTATATTTATTATAATTTATTTTAAGAATAAAAAATGTTGGACCCTTTTCACAGATTGTGATGATGAATTTTAAGTAATTTATTGAACAATTATAACACTATACTTTGTGTTGTATGACCTTGTCACTAAAAAAAAAAAAAAAAAAAAAAAAAAAAACGTGTGTGAGTATTCTGAGGGCTGAGGAAAATTTGGCAAAGTCTCTCTTTTGACCAATATAATCAATCTCTCAATATCTTTTTTGAAGTCATAGAACGCTATCTTGGATTTTTTTTCTTCTTTTTTTTTTTTTTTTTTTGCTATTGGAGCAAATGAAAAGACAAATATTATATTTGTTGTAATTTCTGTTCGCCATTATAGATGTTCACCTAACTATGACTACTTCTAAAAACCCTGGAATTTGTTATTTATTTAAAGCATAAACCTCTCTAAATTTAACATAAACTTCACCTAAATGGAATTATACAAATGCACATGCATTCTTTGAAAAGTCTTAATATGCATTTTGTTTTAAGGATTTTTAGATGTTGATACTGACAAATATACTGTTTAAAAATAGTATTTGTGTGGCCGCACTGCACAATATACACTCTTTAATCTACACCTCTCACCTCTCAAATTAATTGTACTGTACTCATGCAGTATATTAAGATATTGACTTTTAACACTTTATATCAAAAAGCACCCCGTTTATCCTAAACTGCCTAGAGGACAAATATATTATAGTTGAAAATGAGAGACTGTGCCAAAGAAATAGATCAGTTAATTGAACCAATCCATCTCTCTATAAGGCCAAGGAATGCGGACTAATTTACGTTAGCAATAAAAGCAGGGACTTTCACGTTCCTTCTCCGACCCAACCGGTTTCCAAGATCTGCCACTGGAGGCAAATTGCCCTTGTAATTCAATGACATTACCTGAGCAGCTTGAGCAAGTGAGGGACGGGCAGACAAATGAGATCCATATGGAGAACTAGCAAACAATAGCCGTCACTTCACCGATTAACTATAGACCTGATATAGTCCAGCTATGAGTAACACACTTCTAGACATAATAACCTTCAATTTGGTTACATGTCGTTATTACCTAAATAACTTGCGAGATGAATGATATTCCATCATGTCAAGTCAAGTCAAGTCATCTTCATTTATATAGCGCTTTTAACAATGGATTGTTTCAAAGCAGCTTTACAGAGATAAACATATCATTTAAGGTAACAGATTGTTTTGGCGTTATAGCGGTTCTTGAATAATGTTACTTCCAGCTAAAGTTAACTTTGATTGATTCACCTCCGTCGAAATGATCAGACTTTAAACGCGAACCTGTGATTAACGCAGACGGCGTTCACATGCTCATTCAGAATTCTATAGTTATGTGCTTTTTAAAATATGTGCGCAGGTTTGTAATTCATACAACCCAGCCTAAACAAACTACTTTTCTTGCCTAAAAATTTTGATACAGAATTTTGTTTTATTTTATCACTTCGGGGTACGCGAGCCGGAATTCACAACGCTTTATCTGTAGAGTGGGAAAGGGATCCTCCATAGGGAGAGGATAGTGGATACTTCAGCACTGCATTGTCATCGGGTCCAGGCAAAGCTCCCTCGTCAGATCTGGACACGGCCTGGATCCGGCAGGCTGCGGGAAAACCTCGGGATAAACAAAGACACTAATATTAGCGTAGATGCCATTCTTCTTATGATGTAGCGAGTACATCAAGATTTAAGGGAAGTGTTCCCAGTTCCGGCTGACCTAATCTATGCAGCCTAACATTGAATTTATAGAAGTCTATAATGTATTATGTGTATGCTAGGTCAAAGAGATGTGTTTTTAGTCTAGCTTTGAACTGACAGAGTGTGTCTGCTTCCCGGACAATGGTAGGAAGACTGTTCCAAAGTTTTGGTGCTAAATAGGAAAAGGATCATGTAATCAAAGTCAACAGTGATTACAAGGTTTCATTTCTTTGACATGTTCATGTTCTAGAATCTAGATGGTCTATTCTTGGGCTATGGTTAGACGTCTATGCCTGCACTGACAGCCTAAATTTTGCCTTGTTTTAACCTAGACGTCAGGTCTGTGTTTGGACAGCTAGACGTCTTTTAAACGCAAAATTGCTGGCTGGGATGCTTCATATCACAGATACATATTTACAACAAACTTATCTCAAAGTCCTTATCTCAAACGCCTATACCTGCCATTTAAGGCTCTTAAAATTTAACAGTTTGTATTCTGAACTTTTGTTTGCATTTCTCTTAGCAGAGTAAGTTCCAATAACAAGCAGGGTCTGACACTAACCAACCAAACTCGGACATCCAATGGTGCCTGTTGGCCTATTAATGGGTTATAAACTAAGGGGCCGTTTACACAACACTGTTTTCAACTAAAAACAGAACACTTTTATATGTTCTGGCCGTTCCTTTACACGACAACGGCGTTTTGGGGGCCTGAAAATGCAAACTTTTGAAAATGTGTTTCAAAGTGCAAGTTGTTGAAAACGATTATCGTCTCTCTGTAAACTACAAAAACACGAATTTGTGAAAACGATGATGTCATGCGCATGCCTATTACGTGTTTAATCTATAGGTGCGTATAGAGTTACTTCACAAAGTGATATCGCGCCAACTACTGGCCTGGCATGAATAATACAACATTTTTAGTCATTTTCGCAGATCCATGTGAATGTTTAAAACTGTTTCATTTTTAGTACATCGTTGTCATGCAAACGTACCCTAAGTTAACATAGTTTTATGGCTAAGTGGCTGATAAATTGATAAATAAATTAGGTTGAGTAGAGAAAATGGTGACTGGGGTAATTCCCTTTATCTGCTTGATCAAGAACTACATGAAACATGCAGTCGTTCATTAGGCATGAACACATTAAAAAAAATCGGACTCTCTGGGATCTTGAATAGTGTCTGTGTTGGAGCCGTTGAAAGGCCGAATCCATTCACGCTCTTCACCGGTACCTTGCTCTGAGTCACTCTTTCCAAAGCCTATTACATAAAGTACTTAGCTGCTTTTTCTCAAAACAGAGATTAATACAGTCAGCCGGTGCAGAGACAAAACTCCCTAGTTCGACCGTATAAACAAATTCCCATCATCACCAGTGCATTTTCTTGTGCACATGCCCCTTATTAGTTCCCTGTCAACTGACTATAGAGTTATTGTACTGTGCTTTATTCCTCAGGACATTTTTCAGCTTTGGCATGTGCTATAAGGTGCTGTAGTCGGCACTATAAATTGAAAATCAAACAGATAGACAAAGTCATTAGCAGTGCTGATGCAGGCAGGAGGATAGGGAGAGTTAATTAGATCTTTCTTCCCGTGCCTACCAGGCTGGAATTCAGCTCATTGTTACTCTGACTATGTCCATATCGGAGGCACGGCAGAATAATCGTGTTTACCTTGCCATCTTGTCGCTTATACTCAGTAACTGCATTAATTACGCCCATCAATCACTCACTGTCACTCTGACACTCCCTCTCTGACCTGTGTGTGCGTGTTGCTAGCTCGGAGAAAATAACTACGCCTCATTATCCAATACAGGTGGATTGGGAACTGATTAGAGCGATTCTTTGGGAATCATGTGGCCAAAGATTCTGACAGGGTATATCCAGCTATCATCTCTTGACGTGCCTCAACATCGACACCTGTGCCAGTGCCGGCCAGAAACCCATTCGGCTTTTTATGTGTGAAATGCTGACTCAGACTTGTGGCAGGATTTCAGCATTCTGCTTTATGGGATCAGGTCTGAAATGCTGTAAAAGGTTTTGATTTAAAGGCTTTCTATGGTGTACTCCAGTAATGTGAACCGTACTAATGTGGTCAGAGCTGTAAATGTTTATAGAGGGGTAAAACATGATTGAGGGATGCATCTAAAACCCTTGAGGGCCATATACACTTTAGAGTATTAACCTGGTTTCTTGATTAACTAGTAGGTTATGTGTTTCTGCTTTAACTTAAAATGTTTCTCTGGTTGAATTGGTTGGTTAATTGCATCATCAAATCTCAATCAACAATCACTGCAAATTTGAAATCAGATTGTTATAGATGTTATAGATTCAAATAAATATTATTTTTTTTGCATTTTGCATTTCTGATGGAGTTACAGCAATGCTATTTATTGTCTATTTCATAGGATTTTAATGACCTTTGAGTAAAAAGCTCAAAAAGGGAATAAAAAAATAAAAAGGGAAATAAAAAATGTATGTTTATGCTTTCAAAGGACTCTTAGGATTATTATAGTTAACTAAAACTAAAACTATAAAAATAATTAAAGTATTAACAAACTTAGCCTATTTTTTCAGCTCTGCCAAGGCAACATTTTCATTTAGTTAAACTTGATGTACTAAAATAAACTGAAACAAAAATAAATAGACATTTTATCAGCTAGACATAAAACCAAATAAAACTAAATAAAATTAAACTAGTCCAAATGAATAACCAATAAGAAAACAAAATTACTCAAATTAAAATATCAAAATATTAATACAAAAACGTCTCAATGATAACAAATAGACCTTATTCACAGCAGCTATATCATACATCTCTTTGTACTGTTATTTAATGTGTTTTGGGATTTTTCTGCTGACGAAACCCTGCAAACATATCTTTCCAAGAAATTTCAGTAGACATAAAAACAAACGGACAGACAGTATGAGCTGTGGAAAATTATACTTTCAAATTATTACAGGGTTGTTTTTGTTATTGTTGTTGTTGTTTTTACAGCAGATTCCATTGAAAACACGGCAAGTCTATCCCTCACAGCCTCGCTTTCATTCCTGTCATGGCGCTGCTCTGAATAAGGTCTATAACACTGCTCTTAAATAAGCAATTGGTCATTTGCAAGTCCTGCGCGCACCCGGCATGACTCGTGTGTTGTTGGTTACTAAGCAACTTACGCGCACCACATAAGCTGCGTCATTTCCTGTGTAGGGACTCGTTGAAGCGAGCCAGTTCAGTCGATCCCCTACGACAGCTGAAGGCTAGACGGAGACACAGTCGAGTCCGTGCCGTTTTACTTTCTTTCTTTGCGCACTAACGCAACAAATAACTTTCCAACCTGTTTGATTTATTTGTCTGTGGAATTCCTCCAGCGCACTTTCCAATGGACTAAAGCGCGTTTCAACTTTCTGATTTGAGCGTGCCAAAGGAAACCAACTTTGCATTTTAGTTTGGGTGCCATATCCTCCAAATACAGGGACGAGTGGATTAGAACTGAACGCTGATCCGGTGCTCTACTTTAAAAACTAATCAACGGGAACGCATTCGTATGATTGTGGTCGTTGTAAAGCTTTGGATTTCTGGGCAAAGATCCTGAACTCCTTCATGAGGGATTCGCTGTTGACGACAGAGATATTGGAGAAGACGCACTGGCCACTTGACCCCTTTTCACGAGCACAAGACGCACCGGAGCGCGCAGCTTTCTGCCACCGTTATTGGGAAGGTGCACTTTGCGCTCGAATATAGGGCTTTTTAAATTTTACTTTAAAGTTCTGTTTTTATCGTGAAATCTGAATTTCATATTTTTTATAAATATGAAATGTTGTGATGATGAGAATGAATTTTGATGACCATATTTTTAAATTCATAATCGTAGACTGCATGTCATTATTCATTCAGGGCTATTTATATTCCAAAATAGACTTTCGTGAGTTATTTAGCCTAATCTGTTTGCCATTGTAAAATAACTGTTCCAATAATATATCGGGTAGCCTACTGTTGAATGCCACAAGTTGATATAAGTAAAAAAAAAGAAGAAAAGATCTCTCCAGCAACTGTGATTAATAACAATGACAGATCACAGTGCTACACCTTCCAGGTAACACATGACATTAAATGAATGCAGCAAACATTAGCTAACTAAACAACACAACATGTACAACACTCCAATGTACACCATCTGCGAACAAAACAGATTTGATTTGATTTCCCTCATACATTTAATATGTAACTAAGTTCAGTCAAACTATACGTTGTATTAACTTTTTCAATATTTTAGAGTAAAATCGTGATTTTTTTTTTTTTACATAGGCCTTAAAATTTTAATTTACATAGTAGCATTTAAAATTGAAAGTGTTTATTTCAATTCCAAACTTTTTATTTCGCTAATTAGATTTATGTGTCTGGTTTTTTAGGTCCTGTGCGACTCGTTTGATATAATATTGAGTATGACCGTGAACATCAAGGCATCGCAGTGCCATGCGCCGCTCCGCAGGCTCCTGTAGACTCGGTTCCGGTGCTACTGCAATGCTCACCGGACCCCTCCGCTTCCGCGTGCCTCTGTGATCCAGGCAAAGGGCGCGAGGATGAGCACAGACCTGGAGCGCCTGTCGCTCAACTCTTCCTCGGGCAACTCCGTGGCTTCCAGCGCGCGTTCTCTGTCCGCCAACGTGAAGAAGCTTCACAACGCTCTCAACCTGCTGCTCAGCGACCTCGAGAGAGAGCAGTTCATCCACTGCCTCAACGTGTACCACTCCAAGCGCAATGTGTACGATCTGGTCCAGACGCTTAAGGTTATACTGAACGTCCCGAGCAAGCGTCAGCTCCTGCCCATGCTGCGGCTGGTCATCCCGCGCTCGGATCAGCTTCTGTTCGATCAGTATACATCAGAGGGGCTCTACTTGAAATCTGATGTTCTTGCGCGCAATGGTGACCCGGACGGCTCCCACGAGGCTGCTAATTCCAGTCCAACACACGGGGCTCATTTCTCGCCTGCTTCCGCGCCTCAAGCCGCTCTGCGCGGATCTCCTGACAGTATCAGCACCAGCAGCGATGGGACAGCGACTCTTATTCCTTTACTGGGCAGAAATTTCTTACCGGAGCCCCCTGGAGAGATCCGACAGGTGATCCTCAAGCGTCACAAGAGCAACGAGGGTTTGGGATTTAGCATCCGCGGAGGTTCCGAGCATGGAGTTGGGATCTATGTGTCGCTGGTGGAACCGGGTTCGCTGGCAGAAAAGGAGGGTTTGAGAATAGGAGACCAGATAATGAAAGTTAACGACAAAGTGTTCGACCGGGTCACGCACGCAGAGGCAGTTAAGGTAAGGTATATTTATTTTATTTTATTAATATTTTGTGTAATGTTTAAGTGAATTAGATTAAATATCCCTTGTGATTAAATATTATCTTAAATTAAATTGTTGATTCAATTATGCTGTTGTTCTTGTTGGTATAATGTGTGAGCTATTTTTCTTTCTTTCCTTAATATTACCTATGGCCACAGATATATCATAACTGTGCTGAGATCACTAGCTTTAGATCGCCAGTCATTAAACCACAGGGAAACAGACTGCAACTCCTCCTTGATTGATTATTAATGCAAGACAAGCAGCTGAAAGTGTCACTTGAAGGACCAGAATGATAAATGCTGGCTTTTATTGAGATGTGTTAGTCTGGAAGGCCTGTACAAATGTTGATGTTATTGATCAGTGTGTGGATTAGATGTAGTTAAATAAGACGTGGCTTGTCGATTTTGTATCAGTAATACTTGCTGTCATACGCAGCTTTCAGTGTAGAAGCATTTCCTTGCAGGTCTATAGTGTCATTCAAAAGAAGAGCTGATTTTGCCTGACCCTTAACATACTAACTATAATAGAACTGTAATCATACTTAATAGGAAGTAATCCTGCATGTTGGACCTCACATGTATTGTTACGGAGATCGTATGCGCTGTCCATGGTGCTGAATCCAGATGTTTATTAGCGCTGTCCATGGTGCTGAATCCAGATATTTATTAGCGCTGTCCATGGTGCTGAATCCAGCTATTTATTATAGATTGCATTCTGTTCAAAAGTTGTCTCCAACAAACATACTGTTTGTGGCAACTAAAGATCACTAGTTTTCACATGCCACAGACTCTGGTGTGGTGGAACCCTCTGGAGAACCTCTAGGCACACTTTTAAAAGAGCAGTTCTCTGAGGAACCTATTAGTTTATTCAAGAAACTAAACATTTGCCATCATAACAAGGAAAAGGGTTTGATGCACTTGCATATCGAAGTTCCTTTAGTACACTTTGAGTCATCTTCAAAAAGTCTTTAGTCTTAGTTTCTCCAAAGGCTTCCACCAGCGTGAAACCTCAAAAGATTTCATTATTACAATGATCATGTTCTTAACTAAATTACAAAACATGGAAGCATCTGACAGTGGAGATCCCGAGCGGACCATATTTCAAAGTTGGCATATGACTAGGAACTCCGTTCCACTTATACTTTCCTGTTTGACTCTTCCATATTCCCATGTTTGTGAATCTCTGTAGATTTGTGTGTGCCAAGAGAAACTGAACATGAACAGTTTGCCTCCTTTCTGTGTCATTGTTTCCCTTCGCCTGGGGAAAACTGGCACAGTTGAACAGCAGGGTATAAATTCTTTCCACGCTGCCTGGAAGTGGGGGAAGGCTGCTTCCTCCCAGTTAATCATATTGATCTGCATGAGTAAATGGACGGGCCTCTCCCCAGGCTGAACATGACCTTCTGCTTGTCTTGATGTTCTTGTTCTCATGTAATGCAGACATAGCGAAGACACAAACTGATAAGCAGCCAGAACGGAGAGCGGTTTGACGGGGTTTTTGCTAGGTGCAGATCAATTCAGCACAGTGTACTTTTGATCGGTGCCTCTCCCTGCATGCTAGCAGGCAGAGTTATTTTCTAGCAGAAGGAAGAACATCTTTTTTTACTTACAATGAGGATTTCCTCAGACTCTGTTGACCTTTGTGATGTGTAAATGAACCCTGAACATTATCCGTTTTGTTCTTCTTTTTCTTTCTTGGTTTATGTTGTTGTTTCTTTAAGTTTTCAGTCGTAAACACTAAAATAATACTTTTCAGTTTACATGTTACAATGCTAGTTGGTAAAACTCATGGAAAAAGTCACACAGTGGCTCCATCTGAAACTGGATACTCTTTAAGTGGATACTTTTTTAAAAATAAGTTCTTGCTTTGTGACCATTAAAATGTATTTTCTATATAGTTTGACGTGTGTAGTGTTAATGCAATTCGGATGTACTACATTTGTCACTGTCACTGTGTTACCGGTGTGTAACATAACTCTCTATTTCTAGATAAGCAGAATGATGTATGAAATATTTCTAGAATAGAAATGAACATTTCTATTCTGGTGTCACCATTATCCTGAGCACAATTTGATGTAATGCCAAATTTAGAATTTTAATACAACTTTTTGTTGTTTACCACATTTGTTTTGAAGTAAAAAAAAAATATATATATATATATATATTTTTTTTAAAGTTCCATTTTGGCTTTGTTCAAAGTAAGTGAGAGTATCGTATGGTGAGATCAGTATCTTGTATCAAACTGAATCGTGACATTTGAGTATAGTTCACCCAAAAAGAAAGTTTAGACAGATTTAATTTAGCATTCGAAATTGTAATAGTGCAACAAATATGGTGAATATGGTCAATGTGTATTAATTATTATTCATAAATTAGAAAAAAAATACATTATTTAATAGCGCTGCACGATTATGACAAAAATCATAATTGTTGATTATTCCCTTGAAATTGCAATTGCGATTATTAATTACGATTATCACAATTTACATTGAATGATGTTTTAAATAGCTTTATACCATTTTTTGAAGTGAATACATGCCATATTGTTATATCAAAATGAACAAGCTGAAAACACTCTTCCTGAAAAACCTGTTCATTTTCTATAGCATTAAGCCTCAAATGTCAAATATCCATTTTTTTAATTTAAAGAAACCAAACCAAAGTAAAATATGCAATGTTATAAAAAAAACATCTTAAGCACACAGAATAATGTAAGAACGATTAGAACGACTCCTTTGAACGATTACTAGGCTAATTGTGGCATCCGTAATTGTAATCATGATTACAAATTCGATTAATTATGCAGCCCTATTATTTAATAAAATAAGATGTTTAAAACGTATTTGATGTATGCATTCAGGGATATGCATCTAACATAACTCTCTATTTCTAGATAAGCAGAATGATGTATGAAATATTTCTAGAATAGAAATGAACATTTCTATTCTGGTGTCACCATTATCCTGAGCACAATTTGATGTAATGCCAAATTTAGAATTTTAATACAACTTTTTGTTGTTTACCACATTTGTTTTGAAGTAAAAAAAAAAAAAATATATATATATATATATATATATATATTTTTTTTTTTTAAAGTTCCATTTTGGCTTTGTTCAAAGTAAGTGAGAGTATCGTATGGTGAGATCAGTATCTTGTATCAAACCGAATCGTGACACGAGTATTATTATACCTCTAGTTTATATTCATGATTTTTTTGTTTTTTGTTATGAGGTCGATAGAGAAATCACTCCAGTTGGACTGACATTATTATTTCTCTTCCTGTATGTCCAGATGTCTGAGCTGTCTCCATCTCTCTCTCTCTCCATCTACAGACTCAATGATGAGGATGGATTGTACATGCTCGAGGTGACCTGTCTGCACCATCTTTAGGCTATATTGAATGCGTGTGATGGCCTTTGGCATCTCATGATTGGTTGGTCTATCTATGATTGGCCTTCAGTGTTTGTTCACTGTGCTGCTATGATAGCCCATATGATCAATGATCTTTCCTCATCTCCTGCTTCAAGGGTGACCGCATATAAGAGCACCTGTTAGTCGACTTGATTGAATTTTAATGCTGGTGTGACTCTCATGCAAGCTGCCATGGCTCAAACTTAGAGGAGGTTGCCTCTTGCCTTTGTCCTGACACCGAAAGATGATTAAGACAGTGTTTACCAGCTGATCTCAGTTAGGGCCAAGCGAGAAGATTCATAACCAGTGCCTCTAACCATACCTGTCCACTTGTGCTTAACTGAGCTGAGTGAGCGTGTTCAATTTACTCACGGGAGCTGAGCAGAAGGTTCGTTTGGGGCATTGTGGTATTGACAGCAGAGTGGTGCATGCAGTGAGGGAGTGCATCAAAACGTTTAAAATGCTGAACTTTATGCAAATGAGAGCCAAAAAATGAGGTGGTGTGAGTTGAGGTGACGCCGTATACTTTGCCAAGTAAAAATAAACTGTAATTGTGCATACAATTGCACAATTGATGACAATATGATGACTTAACAGTACATTGTAAAACATGTTTGTAAAAAAATCAAAAATCAAATGCTACAGTAAAAATCTGTTTATTGTAAGTTACCTTGTATTGTGAATGGTTTAACACATATGTAATTTTACTGTAAAATGCTGTGAAATTTGTGTTTTTGCAAGTAAAAGCTATGATTTTCATAGTTCGAGTAGCTTATTAAAATTATATTACTTAATAACATAGACTTTTCTATCTATCAATTACCATTTCAGTCGTATCTGACTCTTGGTGATTCTATGGCCATATCTAGCCATACGCGAGAGACTGTCCATGAATTTTCTTGCCAATTATTTTTCTGGGTTAGTTTGCTTGCCACGTCTTTCCCCAACCCTTCCCATTACATGGCTTGGGACACACACACACACACACACACAAACGGAGGAAAACCGGAGCACCCGGAGGAAACCCTTGCAGACACAGGGAAAACATGCAAACTGAGCCACTGTGGCGCACCAAAATATACAGTTATAAGCTTTAAAATATACAGGCACCAATATGTCATCCATGAAACATTGTCACCGAATGTTTTTATGGTGAATTTCTGGTGAATTTTTTTATGGTGAACAGCTGACGTTTTTTTTTTCTGTAAATTTTTGCTGTTGAAATTAACATGTTAGCATATGAAGAATATTTTATTATTTAGAAAATAAGTAATTTAATATAATGTAGCTATTTGTGTGAACACTTTTATTTATCTAGCGGTGTGGTGTCTGTGCTGGGAATGAAATGTGAACAGAGGCCTGGTATATGTTTACAGCAAGAAATTCTATTCTAGTGTGTCACATGGTAAAAAAAAAAAACCCTTTGCCTAAGGGTGTGTGAAGGCTGTATTGAGAACGGGGCAGAAATCTGGAGCCGCTCCTTGCAAGAAGCTTGCTCGGCTTTGTTTCTTTGAATAATAAAGTCTAAATATGACTTTATTATTTTTACTTTAAAATCCACGACTTTGAGAAGCGATTTTTCACAAAGAGAAACCACAACAGTTTCTTACGCACAAGTAGAAACCTAGGATAAGAGATTCCTGCCCATTCTCCCAATGAAGGAAATACAAGGTAATGAGAGAATGGAGGAAGGGAGGGAGTGCCTTTCCTCCATCCTTCCATGATCTTATTCACTGGATTGTCTTCATTAAATGCGATGTAAGGCTGCGTATCAGCTTTATTTCATTTCTCAGCCCCTCTGCTAATTGTCTCTGACTGAGTAGGTGGCACAAATGTTTTGGCCCCTGTTCCAATAATCTCTTGTTCATTACATGGACTTAGAGCAGGTGACCGACTGTCCGTTGTATTCTTCGTCTTGATTTAGGTCCACCATAAAGCGGAGAATATACACTGCCTTTCTCTGACAGACCTCATCAATTTGAGGCAGGGCAGGATTGATGCTCAGTCATTACACACTGTTGGGGACCTGTTGATATATGACTGACTGACTGTGGATCATTGGTCCACATTTCTGTGATTTTTAAGACCTCCCTCTCTTAGCACATGATATCTTTGTGATATACTGATCCCAGCTCTGTCGCTTTTGTGTTTGTGAAAAGAAATCGCATG